CATTAAGTACATTAAGTACATTAAGTACATTAAGTACATTAAGTACATTAAGTACATTAAGTACATTAAGTACATTAAGTACATTAAGTACATTAAGTACATTAAGTACATTGAGTACATTAAGTACATTAAGTACATTAAGTACATTAAGTACATTAAGTACATTAAGTACATTAAGTACATTAAGTACATTAAGTACATTAAGTACATTAAGTACATTAAGTACATTAAGTACATTAAGTACATTAAGTGCATTAAGTACATTAATAACATTAAGTATACTAAGTACATTATACGCTGATATTGATATGATATAGCTTCTATCACTTATTTTTACAAACTTATCTGTAATTAGTAAAGTGATGATAGTAATGTTAAATTATGAGTGGTTTACGTGATAACTTATTCATACTATCATACAAATTCCACAAACTTTGTTGTATAACTAATTGGAAGACCATATATCGCAAGGTTGATTTTGAATAAGATATTACTAGACACTAGTATCGTTATTATGTAGTATGATAATATATTATGAATATAAAACAAAAAAAAAGAAAACAAAAAAAAAGAAGACAATAAAAACATATCGTCTACATAACGGAAAATTTATGCATCTGAATCAAAATATTGATTATAATGCTATGTTATTTTCGATTAATTGGAAGATTTATTGGATTATTGAATTATGCTGATATTTTAGAGATGTGGATACTGGCGGGGAGGTGATCATTGTTTGTTTACATTAATAGGGAACACATGTTCAGGAGGCTGAGGAGGTGATCATTGTTTGTTTACATTTTAGGTGGAACACATGTTCAGGAGGCTGAGGAGGTGTTACATATATAGAAGGCTTGTAACACATGTAACGCCTTCTTGTTACCCCCCTTTGAGGACCCCGAATTATTTTCTGAACGAAAGCTCAAAAATAACCGAGAAATCGACCTTCTTATTAACTCATTTTGATGACCGTTTCTAACCTAAAATTGCACGAAAAATCGATTTAGCTAGGTTTCAGAACCTATAAACACTTCCTTATCCCTCAAAATCGATGTTTTATAGTTTAGAATGCAAACAACAAGCAATATATATTTTGATCCTTCGGTTCTACAGCTCTTGACCTAGGGCTGAAACCGAAAGATCGAGGCAATCCTAACCTTAACTGATCGAACTTGAGCGAAGAGCAGAGTACGACAAAACACAGCAGGTAAGCAACTCATTTTTGTGACTGTTCCTCACCTGTACAACGTTGCACGAGAAATCGATTAAAATTGGTTTTACAGCCCAATAACGCTTCCTTTTTCCTCAAAATTGTTGTGTTACTCAAACAAAGAACATGTTGATTCTGCAACGAAAGAACAAGGAGATTGTCTCATTAACAACTCAAACAGGTTCTATCACAATTTTCAGAGCAGAGCACGATATAGCAAAAGTCAAAAGAAACACAATAAAGGTATATAACAATCATAATAACAACTGAATTATATTTATTCGGACAACGGGCAGCCCTGATGTGCTCCGCGTCCGTGATTTCGACCAATTGTATTAGAGGTGTTCTGTCACGTGACGCTGATCCGTCCAATCACAACAGGAAGAGTGAGCAGAGGGACATTATATCGTATGTTTACATTTCTTATCTGTATTTGACCCTTTGTTCACATTGTTATCTCTGCCACAGGTTGGCAATTTCAAGGTGCTCTTATCTGCAGACTGCACCTCGGTATACACGCCATGATTACGTCATACAGAACTAGAAATTGTGTGAACCGTGATCATTACAATGTAACCGTGCCCAGTGCCCATGTACAATGCTAACTGTTGGGGTGGGGGGGGGGGGGGGGGGGGGGTGGGTTGGGGGTTGTTTACGATAGTCAAACAATCTTGATAGTGTATCAAGGTCTCTCCTCCAACTGACTGCTGTGCTTATCGTCCAGTCAGGAACAGAATAATAACATGATTTTTTAGTTATAGTATGTCTCGGCTGAACTGCGGAGATAAGTACAGTTTGCTGTAATATGTACAGTTTGCTGTAATATGTGGTCGCGATTATCAACTCAGTGGAATTTCAAATGATGAACTGTGCTTTAAGTTTACACCAACTGGAACCAAAGGAATATACCCATGAGTGCTCCCTAACTTAACTTGGACGGTAAGTGTTTGACAATAAAAACTAGGACACGAATTCTCTGACAAGAAATGTTAGCAGGTTTAAATAAAATATACCTGCAGTTAGCAGGTTTAAATAAAATATACCTGCAGTTAGCAGGTTTAAATAAAATATACCTGCAGTTAGCAGGTTTAAATAAAATATACCTCCAACTGACTGTGGTGCTTATCGTCCAGTCAGGAACAGAATAATAACATAATTTTTTATTTATTCAAGTAGCCCTGGTCATTTTTAAAAAATCGTTGTCCACCTCCCTTAAAAAAACAGGGTTCAAATTGTGGGCACACACGAATGCGATGTCGCTCAGATAAGGCAACATCTTCGCCACAACTTTGTTTCCCAAAATCTTGTACCGCTTCAGATAGCCAATAGAGCGTTCCACGTGGATGCGGGCGATGCTGACTTTCCTGCTGGCTGCTACTTCTTCCGGCGTGAACTGAGTCTGGCCCCACATCCCCGCTGGGATGTTTAGTGTAACTCCTGAAATTTAATTCGCTTTTTATTCCGCTTATTCTTAACTAACCGGACGATGATTAATCACTCTACACACAAATAGACTGTTACGTGACGTTTCAACACGTTTTCTAGCTGGCTCTGAAACCTTAACCACCCAGAATGACCCTAACCCTAACACAAACCCGATTTCTAACTATTATTCTGTTCCTGACTGGAAGATAAGCACAGCAGTCAGTTGGAGGAGAGACCTTGATACACTATCAAGATTGTTTGACTATCGTAAACAACCCCCAACCCACCCCCCCCCCCCCCCCCCCCAACAGTTAGCATTGTACATGGGCACTGGGCACGGTTACATTGTAATGATCACGGTTCACACAATTTCTAGTTCTGTATGACGTAATCATGGCGTGTGTACCGAGGTGCAGTCTGCAGATAAGAGCACCTTGAAATTGCCAACCTGTGGCAGAGATAACAATGTGAACAAAGGGTCAAATACAGATAAGAAATGTAAACATACGATATAATGTCCCTCTGCTCACTCTTCCTGTTGTGATTGGACGGATCAGCGTCACGTGACAGAACACCTTTAATACAATTGGTCGAAATCACGGACGCGGAGCACATCAGGGCTGCCCGTTGTCCGAATAAATATAATTCAGTTGTTATTATGATTGTTATATACCTTTATTGTGTTTCTTTTGACTTTTGCTATATCGTGCTCTGCTCTGAAAATTGTGATAGAACCTGTTTGAGTTGTTAATGAGACGATCTCCTTGTTCTTTCGTTGCAGAATCAACATGTTCTTTGTTTGAGTAACACAACAATTTTGAGGAAAAAGGAAGCGTTATTGGGCTGTAAAACCAACTTTAATCGATTTCTCGTGCAACGTTGTACAGGTGAGGAACAGTCACAAAAATGAGATGCTTACCTGCTGTGTTTTGTCGTACTCTGCTCTTCGCTCAAGTTCGATCAGTTAAGGTTAGGATTGCCTCGATCTTTCGGTTTCAGCCCTAGGTCAAGAGCTGTAGAACCGAAGGATCAAAATATATGTTGCTTGTTGCTTGCATTCTAAACTATAAAACATCGATTTTGAGGGATAAGGAAGTGTTTATAGGTTTTGAAACCTAGCTAAATCGATTTTTCGTGCAATTTTAGGTTAGAAACGGTCATCAAAATGAGTTAATAAGAAGGTCGATTTCTCGGTTATTTTTGAGCTTTCGTTCAGAAAATAATTCGGGGTCCTCAAAGGGGGGTAACAAGAAGGCGTTACATGTGTTACAAGCCTTCTATATATGTAACACCTCCTCAGCCTCCTGAACATGTGTTCCACCTAAAATGTAAACAAACAATGATCACCTCCTCAGCCTCCTGAACATGTGTTCCCTATTAATGTAAACAAACAATGATCACCTCCCCGCCAGTATCCACATCTAGTATCTAGAACATTAATAAAAGCACGTCTTTTAAGTGTTGTTTAAAATAATTATGTGACGTATTGACAAACGCGGCAGATTGGTTAAACAATAAAAATTACAATTGTGCAGTGGTGACTGGTGAGAACAGTTCCGATTATCATTGAGTAATTGGGCTCCAATATTAGCATGGATAAGTGCTAACCCCACACTTTTTAATGCTTTGTCGTATAACATTTTATTTCTGCAAATGAGCTTTGTGTCTAATTTATGGTTGAAACTGGATCAGGAAGAGCCATTTTAAAGTGAATTCAAATATTTTCAACGGGATTCTGTCAAGCAGAAGATCCTACAGCCCCTGGAGATCCTCAATTATCTGTAATTTCAAAAACGGTTAGCTGGAGGTCAACTATAGGATCCTATCAAGCAAAAGATTCTACAACCATGTACAGGTATAATAACGCTATTAGCCTGGGGTCCCCTGGTAACACGGCGACTGGAGAGGTAAGTCTAGCTCGGAGTCTTAACGATTTGGTAGTTCTGATAGTTGGATAATATCCGGTTGGAAGAGACAAGGACAAATGAAACAGGAAGTTAGGAATGTAGGCTGCTTCATTTGTCCTTGTCTCTTCCAACCGGATATTATCCAACTATCAGTATTCCAATCATGAGACTAATAAACAGCGAACTATTCCATCATTTGATTTGGTAGTAGTAATGGTATTTTTGTGGACAAATACAACACACAACATCTTGATAATATACTATTATTATAGTAAATAGTGTTCCTTCCTGCTTTTCTGGTAGTGTTCCTTCCCGGGCTTACACTTTGAAGTATAAACAGTGTCCCTCTTTCTTGGGGCGGCCAAATATTTCTGCTTTCCAGATGAATTGGATGAATCTCTAATTTAAGTTATTTCTTGTTTTTATTTTTTATACATAACAAAAATTAAAACAATATGTTTTGAATGCATGTGTGATAAAAATTGTACAACAAAAATATCACTTCAGATCGTAGTCAAGTCGCAAATCAAATATCAACTTACTAAAAATTTAAAAATCAGTTCAGTCCATTTCCATAAAAATGTATTTCCATAATAAAAAACCTGTACATGTCCTTATACATGTGCCCTGCAATCTTGCGAGTAATCTACTTGAACTCAATAGTGACGTCTGTAGATGTGTCCACTCCTTGTTGATCAAACTCACATCTGTAGGTGCCGCTGTCTTCGGGGCTCGGGTTCTTGAGGATCATTTGGTAGGTTCCTGAAATAAACACAGGTTAAGATTTATACACTAATAATTACATTAATTGTACTAATTATTTAGGTAAAGATTGATATTCCTGTTACTTATTGCATTGAATTATGAGTGGTATGTCAGAATAAACCCAGATTAAAAACAGTATATATAAAAAATTAACTTTTGGCAATCGATTTTTAGACTAACATTACAATATTTTACAAAATATTATTATTCAAGATAATATGATTAAAGGATAAAGTATCCAAAAAAATAACCTTTTCCTCGTTCGATACTGATAGTATCACTATCATCAAGAAGTTCATCACCGTCATCAGTTACTCTGTACCAGTTAATGTTATCTGGACTCTTAGGGTCTTTCAGTTTCAGCTGAGAATATATAAAATGTTAGCTTTCGTGGTATAATGATCAATACCTGAGTTTCAAATACGCGATTCAACTAAACGCTGGTCTGCACTCTGCTTGAAGCCTCTCGACGTGTATTCCTTGTCCTCGACCAATGACGAAAATACGAGGATCCTGGGAGTCTCACCCTAATCACACTTACTGTTGCATTACTATCGGCGAAGCACCGCCGGCTCACAATTGACCTACTTTACTTACTCGTGCTCTCCAAAAACTAGGCCTCCAAAATTAGTTTTGTCATTGAGTCATTGGGTCTTGTCGATATCAAAATCTACCATAACCAAGTAGTCGAGACATTTGACAATTTTACATCGTTAAACAGTAAACTTACGTTGTCAATATCAACGTCACACTTGATAGTGAGAGGTTGTCCAGACTTCTGCTTTTTAGACAGTTGTTTAGCATTGGCAATGTTCAGTTTCACAGATCCCTCTGAAAAAGAAAAAGTATGTTAAAAAGTAAGTTTTTTAATCTTTTCCGTCCTGGATTACAGAGTGGAAACGTATTTTTGGTAATGAATGTTGCTTTATAGAATCAGGAACAAGTTGTTTTGTATGAGAATCAGAAAAAGCAAGTTTAGTGGATTATATAGTGTTGAACCACCAATAGCAAATATTAGCGAGAACTATTAAGCTATTGATAGTGTTGAACGACATCAATCGAAAGTAATGATCATTAAAGAAAAGCAAAAAATCTGAAAATAGTCGAGAAGCCTCGGTATTCAAATATCCGCAAATCTGCGACAAGAAATAAATCCTTGTGTTTGAAAACAGCCTGATCTTACCTAGAAGGACAAGTTTGACCTCGACCTCACATTTGAAGCTTTCTCCATCCTTCTCAATGAAGATGGAAGCTACATAAATACCCGCATCTTCGGCATCAAACTTCCTGCGTGATGAGAGTTTAAATGGTGATGATGAAAATCTTGTAGGGTCATTCATGATTATTCAAGATAATTAAAAAATCATAATAGATTAGTTAAGGTAATCTTTGCAGTCCTACTTTTAATGTTTCACACGAACGATTTAAAAAAGTAGAATGGAGAAATTTGATTTAGATAATAGTTAAATTCCGTTTGTAAATACAAACGATTTGTTCTATCTTTGATTTGAATAAAGTTATAAGATAATAATAAATAAGGAGTACCGAAACAAGATGTTACCTGATGGTGAATCCGTTGAATTTAGATTTGCCGTCGGATTTAGGATCCCAGGGTTCGTTGTTCTTTTCCCACTTGATTGTGGCGTATTTCTTGAAGGTCTTCTTAACTTCACCGGCCAACTGAAGTTGTGTTTGTTAGTTAAATCTGTCATATACATCAATATAAGTAATGTTTTGGCTTCAAAGTTAACCAAATATCAAGTGTTTCTACAGGTATCAAACCTATTCTAAGTATGCTTCATTCCACTATTAAGGCATGATTCTATAAAAATTGCCAGTTCTTACCTTGACATTGACATTGGTTCCCTTGATTCCCTTAACAATTGGCTTCTTTGCCTTAACATCACATTCCAGCGGAAGGAACTCCTTGCACACTCCATCAGATCCCTTCTCTGTCCCCTCCTTGCATTCACATTGGTAGTTTCCGACTGAGTTTGTGCAGACCTGCAGAAGTAATGTAAATTTAACTTTTTGTTAACAAAATCAAATTAAGAAACACAATGTAATATAATTTTGGTAAACTATTACATATTTATTATGTATTATAACAAAATCAAATTAAGAAACACAGTGTAATATAAGTTTGGTAAACTATTGCATATTTATTATCTTCAGTAAGACAATTAAATGGTTGATTGCAAATTATTCATTAACGATTGATAACCCATTTTCATGTATCCAGCATGTATTTATGAAATTGGTACAATTCTTCATGTTACCATTTTTAACGTATGTATTAATCACTCGAAATATCTCCTATAATAACTGAGCTCGTCTACATTGAATAGCAAAAATGAACGCCACCAAAGACAAACAGTAACCCCGTCCTTTTCATTTATTTGGTTGGGCACACAGTAAGTAAACACACAAGGTTCCGGTTGAAATTTTCATAGAAAAACTACATCATGAGACCTGAATATACGTAAGTCAAAAAAACTTTTATGAACTAAAACAGACCAATGTCTGAAAAACCCCGTACCTGATTTTCTCCACAGCTATCAGGTAAAGCACACTCGTCAATATCAGCACAGGACCCATCCTGGTTCTCGAACCCGTCAGCGCAGAGACATTCCTTAGATTTCTTTACTCTGATGAAAGTATCCAGACAATCGCAGATGAAGCTTCCTGAATGTTTTATTTGTTGGAGCAAGTGGGCTTGAAAATATCAAAAATGACTGTTATGTTAATTGGTTTCTAATACTGGTTTCTTAGTGCACAAAAATAGCTGGTCATCTGTCGCTTTTATTAACTTAGTTAGTAGTTTACATTTATTACACTAATTACCCTGTAATTACCCTGTAATTACCCTGTAATAACTCTCTTATTACCCTGTAATTACCCTGTAATTACCCTGTAATAACTCTCTTATTACCCTGTAATTACCCTCTAATCACCCTCTAATTACCCTCTTATTACACACCTTCAATGTTGGAACACCTCTCAGTTTCAGAGCAAGGACTATCAGCACACTCGTCAACATCCTCACATGTTCCCTTTACAGCTTCGTATCCCTTCTTGCAGTCACAACTGTGAATTATTTTATAATTGACAAGCGGATTCAGATTTATATTAGTTATAGTAATCGAAATAGCAGATATTAAGAATAGAAATGTGGGCTATAACAACAAAATGTCATAAAATCAAATGCGAGATCAGTGAACGTTTGTAGCTGAAAATCAGCTGTGTCATTCCTGGTGGTACAATTAGTAAAATTGGTAAATTGGCAGCTCTAAAAATCAGGCAATCAACAGCTCTCAACCGCATTTCCTTACGTGTAAGATCCGGCAGTGTTGGTACAGTCCCCGTTACCACATGGTTCCTCAGCACACTCGTCGATATCGATACACGTGACACTGTCGAACTTGTATCCGGTCTTACAAAGGCATTCGTAGTCGGTTCCGTAATCCGTCTTCCTTACACTCGCCTGAGAGCCGTGGGGTTTGTCAAAACTTTATTCAAGGGGTGCTGAATATTATGGATACTTATTATTTAATGGGTGAGTGTGGATTTGGATTTTGAAACACCATTTCGAGTCGAAATGGGTCCTATGAGAGCAAAACATATATTCCCTAGCTAAGTTGGATTAAATTGTAACCATTTAATGAATATCTAAAACCGGAACCAAAACCAAAAAAAATACCGTTCTCTCCACACTTGTCTGCATCGCAACCTCCAGGTACTCTCGGGAGACAGAGTGGCAGATCTTCTACCATTCCGCATTCCTGACCATCTGGACATCTGACATCGTCACAGGTTGGGCATGCTGCCTTCATGTACTCAGAACTGAAAACAGGTAGATATTAGTTAACTTGATAATATGGTGTCAGGTTGGGCATGCTGCCTTCATGTACTCAGAACTGAAAACAGGTAGATATTAGTTAACTTAATAATATGGAACTGAAAACAAGTAGATATTAGTTAACTTAATAATATGGTGTCTTGATCACCCTGTTTTCTTTCGAGTTGATATGAGAAAAATATAATTATGAAATTACTTCTTCGCCTGCATTCTTCACTAATATTCAGTGACATTTACAATAATCGAGAACTATCCAGCTGAATATAAACTTTGAAGCTTGATAAGTCGTGTTATTTTGTGGTTAGCTTTGTAACTAAATTAAACTTAAGAATTGATAGGAGAGTTTTCTTACCCGGTCAGTTTTTTGCAGACAGCAGTAAGTTTGCACCATTGGTGACCGTGAGGATTCTTCAAACAATCAGTCATGGAGCATGAACCGTCATCGTTGATACCGACAGCGCCGATACTGTTGATCCGAGCTCTGTTTACATCAGTAAGCGCCTGAGAGGTGTTGTAATTAATTAATTAATTAATTATATAATCATCAAGAGTTTAAATTCCCAAATAGTCAGACTGAGCAGGTTGAGCTGTAGTAAAACACAGTACTGAGGCGTTAAAACATTTTCATTACTATCTTCAGTAACATCCTGAATCAGAAACTCGGTTAATATCAGTTCCTACAAAGTGTAACATTGGAAATGAAATGGCACAACTAAAAACGATATGGATATTTTTTAAAAACACAACTCTTGTGCCCCAATGCAATAGAAAACATTTAAGATAAATCCAATAATGGAATCCCAAACGGGTCCATGGCATTGAGCCCCAATGGACGTATAGTTCTAAGTTTCTGAATATAACGGTGTTCATCCACTTCTAGAGTTCTTGGGCTACTATTACTGAGAATTGACACTTTATAAGCCTGGTTAAAATTGTCACGTTGTTTCATGTTATGAACTTCTACAAGGTGTTTACCCAAGCTGAATCCGTCGTCGTTTTCTTCAGGGACAAACGTATTGTCCGAAATGAGTTTGTAGTAATGGGCGCGATGTTCGTTTACTCGTGCCCTGAGGGGCTGCACCGTTCTTCCTACATAACACATGTTACAAAGTTGGCAACTGAAGAGGTATACAACATTGTAGCTGACACATGTACCAGTCACTGCTTTGGCTCGCTGTCCATTGACTGTTATTGATGGATGTGGAGATATGATGTTACAGGTACCGCAGTGCCTGCCCCCACATGGTCTTGTGTGAGGTTGGGTTAAGTCATCCGCAAACTGTTTTGCTTTGACTAACTTCCTTCTAAATGATGTTCCAGTACGTCTGACGAATTTGAAGATAGGGCGTGATGTACCGGCTCTAGATGATATTGGGGAGCCTGGGGTGTTTCCACTTGTATGGGAACCAGATAATCCTGAGAAGCTCCTGGTTCTACTGAGTTCTGGTTCCAATCTTTGCACCGATTCTACTAACTCTTGATCACTGCCAAATGTTGAAATAACGCGGACTGCTGGTTCTGGAGACTTTGGTACCAGGACATTGCTGTTTGAGTTGTCCAGTGGTTTGAGACATCTTTCGAAGCCTTTGACCTTTTCACTGATGTTATCTACCATAGTTTTAGGGTAGTTGGATTGGAAGAAAAAGGTTTTTAATTCATCAATTTGTTTTCGGAGTCTGTCGTTATCATTGATGATTCGCCGGAGTCTCAGACATGCACTATAGACTATGCTGCTGAATGTATGGTTCGGGTGGTGGGAACCGAAGTACAGGTAGGAGCGGGCATCAGTCTCTTTAACATGGAGGTCTGTCTGAAGATCACCTGCGGTGTCGAAACAAAATTTGATGTCTAAGAACGACACATAAACATTGTTATCTTCTATGATGTTCTCATCAATGTGGAGGCCAAGTTCTGCTAGCCTTGAGTTGACAGTCGCGATGAATTTTGAAAACTGTCTTTTCGTACCATGGAATACTCCACAGCCGTCGTCTATGTATCTCTTGACCGATTTTACAGGTTCCATTAGTTCCGTGTCTGTATAGACTTGCTCACGCATGACATGGTATACTGCTATGTTTGCAAGTTGTACACAGATACTGCCTCCTGTCGGTACTCCTCGTTTCTGTCTGTACCACTCTCCGTTAAATTTGCCTATAGACGACTCAAAGCTGAGTTCAACACTTCTTATCAACCACTCCTTGAATTTGGCGGACCATTCTGGTCTCTTTTCTTCCATGGCCACCTTCAAAGCTTGGATTGTAAGGTGGGGGCTCAATGAATCATATAAAGCTTTGTAATCAAATGTGAATGCTTTAATGTTGCTTTTGAGTTCTGTGTCCAGGGTATTGTTGATGTTGTCGAGCCAAACTAAGGCGTCTCTATTATCAATAAGAAGGTCTTCGCAAAAATCCCTTTCTAGTTGACGTAGGTATTTATCAGCTAGGAAGACAATTATATAATCATATTAATATATCTATAGCCTGAGAGGTGTTACCATTAGTTACCATTTATAGTTACCATTAGTTACCATTAGTTACCATGAGTTACAGATATATAGACTTATAGAGGTGTTGTAATTAATTATTTAATTAATATCAGTAAGTTTATGTAAGGTTTATCTTTAGATTGTATTTGTTCGAAACGTGGTCAACACATGGTCAACACATGGTGAACACGTGGTCACGTTATATATTACGTCTTTATGAGTCAATTTATTACCTGTGTCCAGGGGCTGTGGAAGATACAGCTTTCCATCAAGTATCCATCAGGACAGCTGATTGAGGGAGAAAGGCCAGCATCAATCCTGTTGAGGAGTTACCATTAGTTACCATTAGTTACCATTAGTTACCATTAGTTACCATGAGTTACCATGAGTTATCATTAATTACCATGAGTTAATATTAGAGTATTAGCTATCATTAGTTACTATTTTTATTATAAGTGACCTTCAGTTATTATCAGTATATTAATTATAATTCCCTACTCTAAATAATGACGCGCTTATACCTCATATCAACACTAAAATTAAGTTTTAAAAGATACGCTAATATTCAGAGATTTGTGTTCAGTTCAACATAGCTGTTAAAGTAAAGTAAAGTAAAGTAAGTACCTGTATTCGATCTGGTGAATGTCTTCCTGGGTACATGGGTCAGTGAAAATGTTATCTTCACCACAGTATCCAACAGCCTGGCGATAAAAGAGTTTCAATAAGTACAACTAACTTAATTAATAATAATAAATAAATAAATAAAAGTAACTTAATTAAGTAAAAACTAATAAATAAATAAAAGTAACATAATTAATAAAAACTAATAAATAAATCAACACTAACTTACCCTGACAGGGAACTTCTTGCTATGGGAAGCTCTAGCTTCACATCGTACCAGTCCGTTAGTGTTGGCAATGGTGACTCCATCAGCTGCACTTGGGGCTCCAAAGGTGTGACACCTGGTAATTTATAATAACTATTAATTAGTGATTTAAGACTATTGTTATTAATAATATTAATTTATCAGCATCATAATCAGCAATTTAAGAAAACAACAAATCAAGAAAATTGTGCTGCTAATAATATATGACGTCACATCTATGAAAACCAAAAAATAATTTTGTTATTAATTACTTAAATAAAGAATATTCGAATAATAACCTGTAAACTCGTTCTCCTTCTGAGCAGGTAGCGAAACTGTGAGCATCATCACCGATAGCTTCATCTCCGTAAACTGTTCGGTCTGAAAGTTGGCAGAGATCAGCAACACGTGATAAAGGTAACACGTGACAAAAGTAACACGTGATAAAGGTACTCGATTTAGGTCACTACAAATCGGTCACATTGAAAACATAACTGATGCTAAAATTGTAACTGTCTCTGAACCGCCAATATACAATAAATTAATTAACTAATTAATTGAATGATTAATTAATAAACTAATTAATTAACTAATTAATTAATTAATTGCTTACATTTAGTGTGTACTGGCATGCAAGTTCCGGCAATCTCATCAAATTCGTATCCGTCACTGCAGATACAGATGTAATCATCTGCTCCTTTAGGTTCGCAAGCACCGTTATCTCCGCATCTGCAGGGACATTATTAATTAATTAATTAATTAATTAATTAATAAATGGGAATTTATTTGGGATTTATAGTCGGTATTTAGTTAGTTTAGTGTATATAACACAGACCTATCGACATCACAACCGGTCTGCTTCTCAACACAAGTGGGGAACTTCTTGTCACTGTCATCTCCATCATCATCTATCATTTGGCACTCGAAACCTTCCTCGCAGCTGTATCCGTCACAGGTTGGGCACACTGCTTCTGCGTAGGCATCCCTGCGGGTTATACGTTAGACTATTTACACATGAAACTTATTAAGGTATTTAATAAAGTTATTTAATGAAATTTGAGCTACTCATGAGACTAAAGTGCAAATGAGTGTAACATTTAATAAGTTATTATATTCCGTGAGAAAAACGTCTCAATTTCTTAATTAAACCAAGACACAGTTAACAGGTTTTATACAGCTCATTAGGTTTGGTCACATATAATGTGGGGTGCTCACACCGCATAGAGCACGAGAAACGAGTGACTATGTGGATTGTATGCGGAGGGAAAAGTATTCAGAGTGAAAAGAACTGTGGAAATATTGAATTTATGAATTTAGCAACATATTTCATTAGTCATATTTGTACGCATAAATGTAATATATAGTATTTTATATATTTTAATGCAACATTTTGCTGATATAAGGATCTTGAAAATGCCTCTTCTAAATGAGGGTTCACACCGCATAGAGCACGAGAAACGAGTGACTATGTGGATTCAGGATTGTATGCGGAGGGAAAAGTATGCGGAGTGAAAAGAACTGTGGAAATGTTAAATTTATGAATTTAGCAACATATTTCATTAACAAATTGAATTATTCAACGAGAGTCGAGACGAGATGTGGGAGAGTAAGTTTTATTAGCTTTAATAAAAGTTGAATACCGTAGATCAACGACTCTGAACAAAAGAGAATGTGAGCGGCTTCAAGCCAAACGAGGCAACCGACGGTAATAGTGGTGGTAATAGTGGCAATAGTGGCAATAGTGGGGTATAATTTAATTTTTTACGGATCGATCTAACAATATCAATGATAAATAAATCAGTGGAGGCTTGAGGAGGTTTCAAGCGTTAAAGGATACTACTTATCGTAATTTTGAGAGCGACCTGTGCTTGAAAATGAAAGCAGCTGGTGAATACATAAAGACGGGCATTATAGAACTTCCCCTACAAACGTTTAGCAGTTAGTTTGAGGCCTAATCACGTTACACGTACCAAGTTGTGTAGCGTTATTTGATTTGATTAAATAGTGCAATCGACACTAATTATGTCTTTCAAACAAGGTGAAAAATCTCCAAACATTAGTAGTTCTACATAAGCAACAACATAATATGCAGAAGAACTCACATATCCTCCATGAGTTTGCAAACATTAAAGCTGTAGTTCTACATAAACAACAACATAATATGCAAAAGAACTCACATATCCTCCATGAGTTTGCAAACATTAAAGCTGTAGTTCTGCATAAACAACAACATAATATGCAGAATAACTCACATATCCTCCATGAGTTTGCAAACATTAAAGCTGTAGTTCTACATAAACAACATCGTAATATGCAGAATAACTCACATATCCTCCATGAGTTTGCAAACATTAAAGCTGTAGTTCTACATAAACAACAACATAATATGCAGAAGAACTCACATATCCTCCATGAGTTTGCAAACATTAAAGCTGTAGTTCTACACAAACAACAACATAATATGCAGAATAACTCACATATCCTCCATGAGTTTGCAAACATTAAAGCTGTAGTTCTGCATAAACAACAACATAATATGCAGAATAACTCACATATCCTCCACGAGTTTGCAAACATTAAAGCTGTAGTTCTGCATAAACAACAACATAATATGCAGAATAACTCACATATCCTCCACGAGTTTGCAAACATTAAAGCTGTAGTTCTGCATAAACAACAACATAATATGCAGAATAACTCACATATCCTCCATGAGTTTGCAAACATTAAAGCTGTAGTTCTGCATAAACAACAACATAATATGCAAAATAACTCACATATCGTCCATGAGTTTGCAAACATTAAAGCTGTAGTTCTACATAAACAACAACATAATATGCTGAATAACTCACATATCCTCCATGAGTTTGCAAACATTAAAGCTGTAGTTCTACACAAACAACATCGTAATATGCAGAATAACTCACATATCCTCCATGAGTTTGCACACGAGGGTAATATCACACCAGTTGTTGGCGTTGCAGCTTGGTACAACACAGTCCTTGTCGTTAGAGATGATACCCTTAGCATCAACTTTGTTTACCAGCCTGGTTAGGGTGGAATTTAGGTTATTATATACTTATATAGGAGTGGAAGTTTGTTTTAAGGAACAAGATCACACTACTCAATTAACTACACAATTACTCAAACTAGGTTATTTACTAACAAAATCGCTCAATTGCTATCAGCTATAAACTTTCAAAAATATCACTTAAAACCATTCACAAAACCACTCACATGTTCCACCAAAAGGAGTGAGCATTACAAATGATAGCTTCATAACCAGCAGGACACTTCAAGCTAGGGTCGGTACCTCTAGCGTACAGTTTCTTGTACAGGTTCAGTTTGGGGCCGTTGCAAGGGCTTGCTATTTGTACTTGTTCTGAGCAGATGGCTCGGGCCTGTTTTTAGATTTGTTAGTGAATTATAATGCTGCAAATCAGGGTCAATGCATATACTTGGTCGGAAAAGCGAATCAATACTTATTGTGTGATAATTAAATTATGTAATTATGCAAATATGTAATTATGCAATTATGAATTTAACAGTGTAAATACTTACAATAACTCCCTGACCACCCCATCCGTTGTGAGCTACAGAGATCTCACCACCATCACCCTTTACAAGAGCACCGTCAGCGTTAACAGCAGTATTTCCAGTAGCAACCTCACAGAAGGACACAACCTGGTGAAAATAATGAGTTGTTAAAAAGTTAAAACAAGGACTCGATAGAAACCAAGCGTTAAAATGTCAAAGAATTGGAAAAAACCAAGGTTAGTAAAAGTATAACCTTATGACAAAGGTTTGATATTATTCTGATTTTGATAAATTAATTGGAGAGTATGTAGGTTGGAAAATATCAGGGATGGATTTATTAATTTGGAGAGTATCTATATCTCAATTCATTAATTATTTAAATAATTACTTGATTAAATAATTAAGAAGTAGATTCCCACCTTTCCACTTGGGCACTTGGCCTGTGAAACGGCATCATCTACAGCTGCACTCTTGTCTCCAACAACCTGTTGTAAAATTGGGTTCATATCAAGAAGTCGTTGGGTTAATATCAAGAAGTTACAATTATCAAAAAGCTTCAAGTAATTTGCTTTAAGATTGGAACTACACTTAGATCAGGGTTAAATTAGAAACAGAATGTTAGAATGTATTCAGCGTTTATATATGCTTATATATATTGTTTTCTTAAAATTTGTGTTTTCTTAAGTTCTTATAATCATGCAATACTGAACATAAAACTATATACTTTTAAATACTTACAGGCTGTTCCAAGACCCGTGTCTAAATTTGAAATTACAATCTTTTATTTCATGAAAATGTAATAACTTATCTACAATTTAAAACAAAAATCGAACTGTTCGTCTCATTTGTTAGGTTTTGAGAGCCATTCAAAATTTGGACACGAGTCTTGTAAAATTTGGACACGAGTCTTGTAAAATTTGGACACGAGTCTTGTAAAATTTGGACACGAGTCTTGTAAAATTTGGACACAAGTCTTGTAAAATTTGGACACGAGTCTTGTAAAATTTGGACACAAGTCTTGTAAAATTTGGACACAAGTCTTGTAAAATTTGGACACGAGTCTTGTAAAATTTGGACACAAGTCTTGTAAAATTTGGACACAAGTCTTGTAAAATTTGGACACGAGTCTTGTAAAATTTGGACACAAGTCTTGTAAAATTTGGATACGAGTCTTGTAGCACCCTGTAAAGTGAGGCACTGTAAAACTACATACCTCTTCATCAGTAGTCTCTTCGATAACAATAGGTTCAGCAGGTCCCCAGACCTTGACCTCACACAGGGTGAGATAAGTAGTTGGGTTTACAACCTGATAAAATATATGGTTAATAAAAAGAGGCTTGATAAAAACCAAGGGTTAGATATTATTCTGACACAGGGTTAGATATTATTCTGGCACAGGGTTAGATATTATTCTGACACAGGGTTAGATAAGTGGTTGGGTTTATACTTTATAAGTTTTATAAGTTTTATAAGTTTTATAAGTTTTATAAGTTTTATAAGTTTTATAAGTTTTATAAGTTTTATAAGTTTTATAAGTTTTATAAGTTTTATAAGTTTTATAAGTTTTATAAGTTTTATAAGTTTTATAAGTTTTATAAGTTTTATAAGTTTTATAAGTTTTATAAGTTTTATAAGTTTTATAAGTTTTATAAGTTTTATAAGTTTTATAAGTTTTATAAGTTTTATAAGTTTTATAAGTTTTATAAGTTTTATAAGTTTTATAAGTTTTATAAGTTTTATAAGTTTTATAAGTTTTATAAGTTTTATAAGTTTTATAAGTTTTATAAGTTTTATAAGTTTTATAAGTTTTATAAGTTTTATAAGTTTTATAAGTTTTATAAGTTTTATAAGTTTTATAAGTTTTATAAGTTTTATAAGTTTTATAAGTTTTATAAGTTTTATAAGTTTTATAAGTTTTATAAGTTTTATAAGTTTTATAAGTTTTATAAGTTTTATAAGTTTTATAAGTTTTATAAGTTTTATAAGTTTTATAAGTTTTATAAGTTTTATAAGTTTTATAAGTTTTATAAGTTTTATAAGTTTTATAAGTTTTATAAGTTTTATAAGTTTTATAAGTTTTATAAGTTTTATAAGTTTTATAAGTTTTATAAGTTTTATAAGTTTTATAAGTTTTATAAGTTTTATAAGTTTTATAAGTTTTATAAGTTTTATAAGTTTTATAAGTTTTATAAGTTTTATAAGTTTTATAAGTTTTATAAGTTTTATAAGTTTTATAAGTTTTATAAGTTTTATAAGTTTTATAAGTTTTATAAGTTTTATAAGTTTTATAAGTTTTATAAGTTTTATAAGTTTTATAAGTTTTATAAGTTTTATAAGTTTTATAAGTTTTATAAGTTTTATAAGTTTTATAAGTTTTATAAGTTTTATAAGTTTTATAAGTTTTATAAGTTTTATAAGTTTTATAAGTTTTATAAGTTTTATAAGTTTTATAAGTTTTATAAGTTTTATAAGTTTTATAAGTTTTATAAGTTTTATAAGTTTATAACCTTTACTGAAGATCCGACAATTCCGTTCTCTCCACAGTTAACTGAGTAGCTGTACTTTATTGGGTTGTACTCGATAGTACCGCACAGAGCGTCTCCTACGAATACCTGAGGGTTGTGTTAAATTTAAATAATTTTATTTCATAAAAAAATACATGAAAAAACATTTTAATAATTAACTAGGGGAAGTTATTGATTGGTAGAGAATCTCTTCAAAGAAAAGCTCTCGTGTGCCAAAACTGGAAGGTTGGTGCCTGATCGTATACAGTTTGAATGAATCGATGACTTGTTTGAAATTTTTTCACTTTTATTGTAGAAAAAAGCCTCATTTCATTAAATAACAGCCACTGCACTGATAATGATATGTGTAATCACGGTTCAAATCCATACCTGAACCCCATTAATACGGTTACTGCAGCAATCTACTCGGTTCTTGATCCACACACTCTTGATCACGTAGTTGTCCTGAAGATTAACTTGCCACGAGCCTGCACCGTTAGTGTGAGTGCAACTTCCACTGGGAAGGAAATATTTATATTACTTTATATATATACAAATTATATATAATATGTTCTTTGACCTTTCAATCCTAAACGAAGAGACTAAAATCGATGTGATCGATCATTTGCATTACTTTTTTTACATACACCTAAGCAACTCAATATTTAAATTGATCTCTACTAACGCAGTCCATTGACCAGCCTCTTTGCCATCAACAGCACGGCTAGAGACACCTCCCCATCCAGTTGAAGTCTGTGAAGTTGGTTTACCGAAGGCAAGGTTAGCGAGATGTTCATCTCCGGACTCTACTCGGGGATCTGCCAGTACTTTCACCTATAATTTAATGGTTAACATTACAGTTAAAATACTTACATTTATAAAAGTATAAAGATTTATGAACAAACATTTATATACTGTCTGAAAAAATTAATCAAGACATTACTTTTTAGTTAAAAAGATATAACTATTCTAAATGGTGATAAGGTATACGCATAGTTATAGTTATAAAAGCATACATTTTTACCTCACAAAGAGTCAAGCAAGACGTATTGGTTAGGTACATGCTGCCTTGATGGTAACACTAATTATGACTAATTATGACTAATTATGACTAATTATGTCTTGCTAATTATGACTTGCTAATTATGACTTGATAATTATGACTTACCTCGCAGAGAGTCAAGTATTGGTTAGGTGCTGCCTTGATGGTAACACTTTCAAACATTTTCACTGTATCACTATTACAACCAACTTTGTAAGCTTTCTGTCCCTCCACATAGATAATCGTACCACAAAGTGTGTCTCCAGCGAATACCTTGGAGAAAAGACAATTTTATTATTTATCACCAATTCAATACACAATCAATCAATAAATATATATCTGAATTTACTTGATATCAAAGTAAATGATACAAGTATGCTAGCAGCTAGCGCGCTTGTATTTAATAATAATACACGCTGTTAAAGTGGGTCTGACCACACATTGGGAATGTTGTGTTGAATTAAATAACTTTGTGATGGAGCTGAAAGAGCTTGCAAAGGAGACCTGACTTGTAGTCAGAAAATTTATTTGAATAGCAAGCTTAGAATGGTCGAAGATAAACCCTGGTATTGATCAGTGTATGGCAAAACCTGCCGTCATTCCTTTCAAACTATGTTGGTCAAATTAATCAATATTATACAATTATTTATCAAATAATATACAATTATTTAACAAATAATTAACATACGGTGACTCCGTTCAAGGTTGTTAAATACGTATTAGGAGGGAATACGTATTGGAATACGAATACGTATTAATCCTCGAAAATTGACGTATTACGAAAAGGTGCGGCTTGAAGTTGAAATTGATCGCGGACGGTCTTTAAATTCTGAACATCAAAATCATTAAATATGTATTAATATGTAATAGATAATTTCGCAAAAAATGTTTGCTTATCGGATTATCCATGAAATTTGATTACAAATTTAAGTTATCATGTATAACTGCACTCCTTTAATGCATGATCAATGATGAGGGTGCGGCGCGCAGCTGTAATGTTTAATTTTGACAAATCAGCGTATTACGGCGTATTATGACGTATTCGTGGACGTATTTAACAATCCATAGAAATTACCGTATTACGGCGTATTACGACGTATATTCTTTATTAGAACCGAATACGTCGTATTATTTCACGAAAATTTGACGTATTTAACAACCTTGACTCCGTTGATTCGGTCAGCACAACAATCCTCTCTGTTGTAGATGACAACTTGTTTCACAGCAACAGCATCATCAAAGTCAAGTTTCCAGTATCCGTCAACTGTGTTTCCAGTGTGAGAGCAACTAGCACCACTGGAGATAAGTTACATGGTAATTAAAAATAAGTTATTAATGAAAAATAAGTGCATTTATTGAGCAAATTTGTAAAAATATTGCATATACCTGCTTTTAATCAGTCTAAATTCTATTTACATATCATATTAAGTTTTCCCATTGAACATAAATCTTTTTCAAAATGATAGCTCCCAGTGTGGTTTGATCACATTAACTTACTCGAAATAGTCTCCAGCAATGTTGCCATCGATAGCTCGGTCAGCAACTCCGTTCCATCCAGTGTTGGACTGGCTTGCTACTCCGTCGGCAGCTACGTTAAGGAATGTTCCTAGATCGTCACTTGGCGTGGCTGAGATGGAGGGGTTGATACAAATAATGTTAGGAATTAAGAGCCGAGACAAATTCTAATTTTGCTAAAAAAGATACCGTAAACTGAATTTTACAGACTGACAACCATATGCTTACTCAGAATAACTTTAAATTATACTTCTATCCAAGATAATTTCCATCGAAACCTTTTCAAAGACTTACCAAGAACTTGGACTTCGTACTTAATTGCTACACGTACTTAATTGCTACTCGTACTTAATTGCTACCGTACTTAATTGCTACGCGTACTTAATTGCTACGCGTACTTAATTGCTACACGTACTTAATTGCTACACTGAGTGGACGTACTTAATTGCTACACTGAGTGGAAGATTAGTTCGGCTAATGCAGCCTTGGGTTCTATTGATCACTGTGTGTGGTCCAACCCAGCAATAACCGACATCGGGGCCAAACTTTGGAACAACCATCTTATTGATAAGGGAATATTTTACATCTCAGATTTCCTTTCTATAGATCAAAGTACACTCCTTAACTACGATATGTTCATGAACAAGTGGGAGCTGTCTCCGAATACGATTTCCAAAATTGACTACTGTAACATTATCATGGGGATACGGAGATATAACTGTCCCACGATTAACTCAAGGAATATCGAATTTGTTGACCCGAATATAAAACTTCAATTTTTACATTCTGCAACTGGGCAGGTGAAGGGAAGCAAAATTCGGGATAAAATGTACGATTCTATTTGTCCAAACGAGCTGACTCCTTTACGTCAATGGGTTATCGACTTGAACAGTCATTCCATCGATTGGGCAGTCGTTCTAAGCAACCTGTTTTTCTTAGTATCTAAAAACTTTAAGTTGATTCAATTTCAGTACAAACTTTTAATGAGGATCACAACGTGTAGATACATGAGACATAAGATGAAAATTGTTACAGATACTCCCATGTGTAGCCTGTGTAAAACATATTTAGAAACTATTCCTCATATTTACCTCCATTGTATTCACACAAATAGCTTCATCACAATACTTGAAGACTTTATTAAAAGGAAAATCGATAGAAATTACGAAGATCCCACTAAAATTAATTTTATAGTCTGTAATCACACTTCACAAATTATAAATTATTTTAATATCGTTGCGAAATGGTACATTAGCAAAAAATTCCAGGCAGGAGACTTGCCGATCTGGCAGGGGTATATCAAACTTCTTAAACTTTCGCTTACAGGAGATAAAATAGGTCACAAAAGTTCTATTGTATCGATCTTGGCCGATTAGGGTCTAGGGTAATTTGTCCACTCCATTTTTATTGCTGTCTATGTTATTTAATTTTTACCGGTTATTGTTACAATCTTACAGTACTACTAGTAGCTGTCTTTTGTAGCACATGCCCTGCTTCCTTCCTTTCCTAAATTTCTTACAAGCTCCTACAGCCTCCTCTCTTACACCCTTTTCACTCAATTCATTTCACTCATTCACTTCATATTTTTTACCACAGTATCTGCCAAAGCCAACATGGCCTAAGTAGAAAGGGGCCTTGACGTTGTTTCCCGCTTGGCCCTGCATCCCATGCTGACGGTTGGCCTCCACTCTAAAAAACTTACCTTCAGTGAAGGCCGATGGTCAACAATTAGCGATGTAAGAGCTTGGCGGTAACAAATCCTGACCTCCTTTTACACCTTTGGGACGACTTTCGCAAATGCGAGAGGAATGACCCCGAGGAGGGCTCCATTGGTTTTAGTAGGTTGCATTTTATTTAAAAAATTAAAAAAAAAAAAAAAAAAAAAAAAAAAAGAACTTGGACTTCACAGAGTGTCAGGTACTGTCGATCCTGGGTGATCTGAATCGGTGACAACCGACAACTAGGAACCTCTCATTCCGGCCTCCTACAGGTATCACATCACATGGCCCAATCAGTGACGTATCATTTGTGATGTGATCCATATTATAACCATCCTAACAGCAGGACAACCAAGAACCTGGGTAGGGTTCACATGACAGTTTAGTAAGTGCCATGGGAGCGATACGAGGGGTGGCAGACAACTGAACCCAATTGAACCTAGTTCCCACGCAGTTAACAGGCACCCAATCAGCTTAATTGGTTGACCAATCAGCTTAAATCCCAAAACGACAACTGAACCCAGGTCATATCACAACTGCACCCAAATTGAAAATACGACAACTGAACCCAAGGAAATACGACAACTGAACCCAACGATCGGATTTTCAGTGATATGACTGTGGTCATTATCACTATAGGATAGATCATGACTGCACTGTAATTTAGAGCATTGGAGCCCTGTGCTTACCCCGGTAAAATATTAATACATACATGCTACATGAAGATTGAAGAGGTCTCCTCCTAGTCGTTGGAGTGGCCTGCATCACACACATCTCTTCTACGGTGTTCCACTAGTTTTAGAGCTAACTGTTTTACTGCGTCTCTGCTGATGTTATCGACACCTGTCAGCCGCATCCTCAGAACACAGGCCATCCAGCCCTTACGGAGTCGTCCTCTCAGTCTCTTCCCATAGTTTGGTTTCTAATCCAGTAAAAAATTGGGAAACTGTGTCTCTGGCATTCTGACAACGTGTCCGTCTAGCTTTGAAAGTTAGCCTTGTAGATACGGATCTTGATGGGCGTTCTTATAGTTCCACTGTTTCATGTCTTCCAAAGCTGATGGAACGCACCATTAGCACGCTGGATACTTGGCTCAGGTTACTTGACTCAGATCTCGTGACTCCTGATGCTTTGGGAGGGCCTGCCATGGTTCAGATCTCGAGCCCTGGGTCGGATCTCGATGCTTGAGGAGCAGTGGATCGTATCCTTTTCGGCACGCTTCGTGAACACGTAAGCTTGTTAGATCAGATCTCACGATCGAAAGGCACCTGAGACCTTGTCATCTATTATAATAGTACGCTTGTTATACAGATCGGATCAATACATAAGGAAGAGAGATGGTGGTCACAGTATCGGATCATGGTTGTCTTCATCAAGTACATCAGCGGACAAATAAAAGAGGAGCTCAACTACTTCTGGACACAGACGGTTTCCTCTACACCCGGAGAAAGGATCGAGATACCCTACTACCTCTACTTGGAGATGCCAGAATTACAGAATCAAGAAATGTCCTGCTCATGTATTCCTTGACCATGGAGATCAGTCCTTGGCCAGCGGTGCCAAACCTCATTCCCACGACCCTGACAACTTAATAGCTGAGAAAGCAGAGTTCAGAGCAGAATTGAAACGGAAAGCTGCCGACCAACACCTCCCAGCAACACAAAACCTCCTCACCGAAACCTTATCTACATGCCCATCCGAAATCAACGTGGTACTACCTAATCCCTCGCCAGAATTGTCCAACGATCACGAGCAGATAAGTTCGGATCTGCCAACCACTCCGAAGCACCAACCTCAACAGACCGAAATTATAGCACTAGAAACCAGGCAGCAGCTAAACTAGAACGGTATTTGGAAACCTGTTAAACTGTTAGTGATTTCTAGTGACGATTGGGTTCAGTTGTCGTTTCAAAGTTAATTAGGTAGTCTGATTGAGTTTATCATTATTTT